AATCAGCTGCATCACGGTCACCTGCTTCCTGGTCTATGACTCTTCCCATGTGGATATTTCTACTTTTGTTGGACTGTGATTCATTCTGTTCTTGCTAGACATGTACTTTGGTATTTTTCCCTTTGTCTCATAACAAAAGTCTTTGAGTCTGACCTTAATACCACCTGACTCATTCTCCCCATGACAAATACCCCAGGTGGGGGAAGATAGATGGTGGCCTTCATCCTCAACATGTGTGCTCTGGGCAACACGGGCTGGAAGTTAGGAGTTGTGCTTCCATCCACTGATGTCACTTGTCCTTGATATAGCCATCTTCCCCCAGGGACATTGCCTTGTCCTCCTAGGGCGTACCATCCTGCAGGGGACACGCCTCACTCTCTCCATGGCAACTCGCTGATTTAAACACCTACAAACCTCCTACTTTGTTGGGTCAAGTACTGTTTTTTACCCTGAAGTTTTGCTGAAGGGTTATAGAATACGTTATTTTAGAAAAAATAAAATGACAATGATATTGCACAGTAAATACATACATTTACTTAAAATCCCCGGTTTAATCCAATATCTAGAAGTTTAGTGTATAGTGTGGTGAGCATATCGCGAATAGACTGTCTAAAGAACACTCTGGTATAAAACCAGTTCACTTAAGAAGAAATGGAGGCTTTGATAGTTAAAGACACATGTGCAAGTGTAGAGGGCTTTGTGCATGACACACAGAAGCAGAGACTTGGCTGAAGCACACCCTCCTAGGAAAAGAGGGCAAAAACTAAACTAGCAGATGTTAATAGAATAGAGTGCACTTATAAGCATATCGATTCTGCCTTCAGAGCAAGTCCACTTCATCCAAATCCATGGAAACAGTGGCTTTTTCAACTTTATTGGATCATAGATGTCATTGACGATCTGATACAAACTATGCATTTGGTCCAGAAAAAATGCTTAGATTTGCAGATAATTTCAGAGATTTGCCAATCCCTGAAGCCCAATATGATCATGTTGCTGGTTGCTAGTCATGCATATCGTGTTGGATCAATTATTCATATGGTGTTGGAGTGAATGGGGGAAACCAAGCAGGCAAATGTACATTACAGTTAGATATCAGCTCCTGGGTATTGTTTGCCAAGTGTGCTTCCTCCTTACATTATATCCCAGGCATGTGGCCTCCAACAGCAGAAGTTCCACGGAAAAAGAAAACCCAATTTCACTTCATGTTTAGTGATTAGCATCTAGGGGATATTTCTCCCAAATTTGCTCAGATTCACTAGTAATACAAATATAACAAATGCACAAGGAGAGGTTAACCTAATAATTACATAATTATTAGCCAGGCTCTTTACTGACTAATGAAAAATTAAAGCAATTATGCATAAAGTATTGCCAAGTATACAATCTAAACAGCATATTTGCAAAACTCTTCTTAGTGCTCTAGTTAAGATCTAAACACTGTTATAGACTTAAAATGGTCTGCTCGTCACATCAATTATTTACTCGGTGAAGATATTGTTTTCCAGGCTGAACTGACTTCCTTGGAAATGAAGAATTGCTGTCTGGTCCACAAAGTTACTCACCCTCTTTTTAAGGACAAGACAGGGTGGTTTTAAATGAATGAGATAGAGGTGAAATTTATACCATATTAGTTGAGTCTAAGTGTTCTTACCCAGATCTGTAACCAAATAATTCTATAAACCCTATAATCAAAAATACTCTTATTGTTCCTTCCCCTTTTCCTCACAACAAACAACAAAAAACAAACAAAACAAAATTTAAAAGTTAGGCAGAATGATCAACAAACTTATCAGTGAGGTCTGGAAAACTTTGTAAAACCACTATAATATGATTTTATAGGCCAGGTGCAGCGGCTTATGCCTGTTATTCTAGCACTATGGGATGTCAAGCTAAGAGGATTGCTTGAATCTAGAGGTCAGGAACACCTTGAGCAACAGAGTAAGACCTCATCTCTATAAAAAATTTAAAAATTAGGTGGGCATGGTGGCACATATCTGCATTCCCAGCTACCCAGGATGCTGAGGCAGGAGGATCACCTGAGCCCAGGAGGTCGAGGATGCAGTTATTCATGAGATGCCACTGCACTCTAGCCTGGGCAACGGGGTGAGAACCCAACGCAAAAAAAAAAAAAAAAAAAAATTACCATCAAGGAGTAGTTAAAATGACTTTTTCTTTTTTTTGAGTTGGAGTCTCACTCTGCTGCCCAGGCTGGAGTGCAGCGGCATGCTCACGGCCACTGCAACCTCAACCTGTTAGGCTTAGGCAATCCTTCCACCTCAGCCTTCCAAGTGGCTGGAACTACAGGCACATGCTACCATGCCTGGCTTATTTTTTGATTTATTGTAGAGACGAGGTCTCACCAAGTTGGCCAGGCTGGTTGCAAATGACTTCTTAAGTATTTCCAAGTGGCCAATGACATTTACATGGAAAAAGAGACAAGAATCATTCTCATAAAGTATAGCAGTAGCATAATGCTGGCAAGTAATGCAATTCCATTTCTGCAATTGGCACTAACTTTTTTTCAAATTGTAGCAAGAGGAAACCCTCAAACTGTGAGTGTTCAATGATGCTTGAGTGGACAATGTCCCTGACAGTATAAGATTTTTCATTCTGTAAAATCACAGTAAGTCTAAAAATGCCTTCTTTTTTTTTGAGTTGGAGTCCCACTCTGTCGCCCAGACTGGAGTGCAGTGGCTGCTCCCAGCCACCGCAGCCTCGACCTGCTGGGCTCTGGAGATCCTTCCGCCCCAGCCTTCCGAGTAGCCGGAATTATAGGCACGCGCTACCACGTCCGGCTAATTTTTTTTTTTATTTTATTGTAGAGATGAGGTCTCGCTGCCCAGGCAGGTCTCGAACCCGCGGGCTCAGGCAATCCACTCATCTCAGCCTCCCAAAGGCGTGGGATTACAGGCTGAGCCACTGAGCCCGGCGAAAATGCCTTCTTTGTAGCACAGAAAAACAATCTAATCTAATGAGCTGCAGAACCCTGGCTAGCTTGGGAAGCTTCATGCAGATGACAACAGTGGTGAGGGCTTTAAGACAGTTCTTTCCATAGTCCTGTGAGACTATAACAGGAAAAGTAAAAACAACTTGAAAGGTAGTAGAGCAAATGCAAACAAATGCCATTTTGTTTAAAGTCTGTGCTAAAGCCAAGAATATATTTTTTGTACAAAAAAACTCCAAAGGAAAATTAATTTTGTTTTCAAAATAGCCTTCTGTCTTTTGCATGCCACTTCATTTACACAATTCTATTAAGGCGACACTGTCCTTCTGCCCATGAGACTTGTTTTCAAGTTATTGTTGAGACAAACTAAGTAGGGTAAGTGGCAAAGAGATTTCCTGACACAATTTGTCATGAGTCTGCAGTTTATTGGGAAGTCTTTAAAACACAAATGTCTAATTGCATCCCTTAAGAAATGCACACACACACACACACACACACACACACACACACACACAAACTTCAAATGTAAAGAAGTTGAAGGTAAGTTCTGTTTTCTATCAGGGAAATGAAGGTTATCCACACTTTGAGATGAGAAGGAAGAATTTTAAAAGTGAATCAGGGTTAGTATTGTAAGACACTACACAGGTCTTTCTAAGTCTTCACAGAATAAAGAATTTGTTTAGAGAGTTGTATGTTTTCAGAACATTAAGCACATCTATATTCAAATGGAAGAATCAAAAAACTTTCCAAAGGCAAATACTAATGATCGTAGACTGTGCCACTGATGCTGTCAAAATAAATAGGTAATTGATTAACTGCTTTTTATTTTAAATGATTCAAAGTTCTGAGTTAAATTGACATGAATAGTCATTTCTAACATGCAGTAGACACAAGCTGTGATAGCATTTTCCATTTATCCTCAGACCTAACTTTGCCTGTTGTCTCGAGGTGACTCCTAGACCACTCTCTCCAGCCCAAATTGCTGCCCAAGGTTCAACTTCCAACTAGATATCATCATTTAGATACCTCACAAGTCTTCTAACCCCCAAATACCCCAAACTAAACATAACAATCGTCCCGTAAATCTTAGTCTTCTAAAGTAGCATCATTCAATAAATTACTCACAGAAAGTCATCCTCAACTCATGTACTCATGTAATATATCATCAAGTTCCAAACACTAGCCTGGTGTGGTGGCTCACACCTATAATCCCAATACTTTGGGAAGCTGAGGCAGGACGATTGCTTGAGCCCAGGAGTTCGAAACCAGCCTAGACAACGCAGTAAGACCTCATTTCTATAAAAAATGTTTTTAAAAGTTCCAAATCCTGTACTCCCATGGTATTCTACCCTCTCCATTCCCGCTGTGTTCATTCAAGGCTTTGACATTTTCCCTCAAGATTTCTGTCATAGCTTCTTCCTTCACAGGTTGTAGGACCCTTGAGCCTTCCTTCACCCTACTGCCAAAAGTATCCTTTTATAGTAGAGTCCAGTCATGTAGTTTTTACTTAAAATACTGAGACTCTTCACGCTTTAATGACAAAGTTAACACAGGCAATGGAGCCTTCTTTCTTGACCAGACCTCTTGTCTGTCTTTGGACTCAACTTCTACCATTTTCCATAGGTGATAAAATGAGGTTCAAGCCTCATTTGAAGGTGGTTGTATAGACAGACTTTGCCTTTGTGTGCTGGAGAGGTACATTTGTTGAATAATTTTTTATAATATCAAAATACAGCACACATAATTTTTTTTTTTTTTGAGCTGAAGTCTCACTCTGTCGCCCAGACTGGAGTGCAGTGGCACGCTCCCGACCACCGTAGCCTCAACCTTCTGGACTCAGGCAATCCTCCCACCTCAGCCTTCCAAGTAGCTGGAACTACAGGCGCACGCTACTGCGCCCAGCTATGCACACATAATTTTAAAAGCCAAGACCTCATGTAACATATGCTTCTAAGCTTAAATAGGAAGCAACTGTAGTCAGTTGGGGAAAAAACTAAATAAAGCAGAAAGGTAACAGTCGTGGAAAAGAGATTTACATGTCCAAAACGCTTACCCAATGTCTCCTGGAAAACTATCTTCCAGCCTCTTGCTGTTTGAAATGAATCTGTCTTGAACACCAGGAGCATACTATTATTACTGCTCTTAATATTTGGTGGGCGCTTGGAACCGCAGAATTGTCCAAGAAGGGGATCACTGACATTGGCACCATCATAAATTGCCAGGTAGTCGTGCGAGCAGGAGGTGGAGGGAGCCACATCAAAATCACTGAACCTGTGAAATGTTCCTTGTTAATACTGATGTTCTTTAGTTGGACATCTATTAAATTATACCTTTAGTTTTTGTTTAAAAAAAAGAAAAAAAAAGACAAGACAAAAACTAACAGCAACACATCCAAGCTTCACTTGATAGGAAATGTTAGAAATAAGACACGACTGTACTGATCAGCTCAAAAGTTTAGCCCCAGATTTTTGAGTAACTACAATATGCCCAAACTGTGACAGCAGCTGGGGGTGTAAAGATGAGTAAGATACATTCCTCCACTTCAAGAAGTTCACAGTCTAGGACATATTAAAGGTCTTTTGAGGACAAGTTTTGCCAAGTAATGCTAATAATTATTTGTTATTCGAGCAGCACTTTAGATTTTCATTACCATTAAAAACAAAGTATTTGCTGGGGCTCCGTGGCTCAGCCTGTAATCCCCCGCCTTTGGGAGGCTGAGATGAGTGGATTGCCTGAGCCCGCGGGTTCAAGACCCACCCAGGCAGCGAGACCTCATCTCTACAATAAATCAAAAAATCAGCCGGGCCTGGTAGCGCATGCCTGGAATTCCGGCTACTTGGAAGGGCCGCTCCCGGCCACTGCACTCCAGTCTGGGCGACAGAGTGAGACTCCAACTCAAAAAAACCCAAAAAAACAAAACCAAGGTATTTGCTCTTCCCTTGTTATTTTATAAGATGAGGTGGTCCTATTATCTTATTCTTAACTTATGGAGAGAAGAAATGCTGTTTTTAGAATCATAGCTCCATTCTTGTTTTCACAGTCTCTTGTTTCCCTCTTTTGAAATGGAGCTTACAATAAAGTTAAGCGAACAATATGTAAAATCCAAACCATGGTATCAGGTGGGTAGAAAGATACCATCTGAGTTTCCAAAAGGACTCATACACATTTTGACTTTTTGTTTTATATCATTTTCCCAGTGGAGCACAGAAGATACAAAGAATGAAATGATGATGACGACAATGATGAAGGTGATGATTTTGACAGGTAGGAATATGAAATAAGTTGTTTCTCATAAAGGATATAAAATGAATAGAAGAAAAGAATCAGCTCAATTTTACTGGGTCTCACTTGATTGCACTAACAAGAAATTCACGTTTAAGATCAACATAGTGGTCACTGGAACTTCCCCACATAGTTCTAGTTCTCTGCCTTTCCAACACTTGGCAGGATTGCCCTTATGTATACACTTCGAGTTGTGGCATATCTGTAAGACTTGCTTTGGTCATGGAAATGCAAGCAGAAGGGATATGTATTACTTTCTAAAATAAGTTTTACAAACTACAATGCGCTTTGCCACATTGCCTTCCCACTGCAGTGATGATCATGAAAACAAATGTAGAAACGAAGCTTCCATCAGCCTGGGCTGCTGAGTGACCACAGAGCTTCCTTGCCAGTCCACATGGAGCATGCCCAGATGAATAAGAAATAAACTTGCTGAGTTAGGCTGTTGTGCCTTGGGGTTGTTTGTGACCACTTACAACCTATCTTGGAAGATATATCCCTAACTTTTCTTTAATGGTCTCATAGTGTTTCAATCTAGGCCTTATCCTTTGTTATTTTAAGTAACTGTTTCCAGAGTTTCTAAACAAACAAGGCCTCCTACATGGTTTTACTTTAGGATTTTATGGTGGGTTTATTATAGCTTATTTTTAAAAACTTGTTTAAATTATTTGATATCTTGCCCTCATTTCTGTAGGTTCTTTTGCTTTTTAAATTTTTTTTGTTAACAGCTTTCATAAATAACACATAATATGAAATACTTTAGAAAATATCGGATAATTAAATACTTTATTTGAACAGCCTTAGGAAAAAAAATCTGTTCATTATTTTCTTGAAAAGATTTTGGTTGGTTGAATGTTTTCAAACTTATAATAAAGAACAAAGTGAAAAAATTTTGATTTTCTTTTATTGCATGTAACATTTAATGTTCTTGCTATAGAAAATAAGAGCAGAGCAGTAGCTAGATAATTTCCAACAGCATTATATTTATTTTCATTCTCTGTCGAAGTTATTTTCCACAATAAAAATCCACAAAGAAAGATACCATCTGAGTTTCCAAAAGGACTCAAACACATTTTGGCTTTTTGTTTTATGTCATTTTCCCAGTGGAGCACAGAAGTATCTTTTTTTTTTTTTTGAGTTGGAGCCTCATTCTATCGCCCAGGCTGTAATGCAGTGGCACACTCACGGCCACTCCAACCCTTCCACTTCAGTCTTCTAAGTAGCTAGAAATACAGGGATGCACTATTAAGTCCAGCTAATTTTTGATTTATTGTAGAGATGAGGTCTCGCCAAGCTGCCTGGGCTGGTCTCGAACCCGCAGGCTCAGGCAATCCACTTGCCTTGGCCTCCCAAAAGTGCTGGGATTACAGGCTGAGCCACTGAGCCTGGCTGACAGAAATCTTATGTGGCAGGTATATTCTGAGAGACTTGGTAGAAGGATTTATGTTTTACTCATGTTGCCTGCCATCTTCTACACCACCTAGATTAGTATCCGTTTCATAGAATGTGGACTCTTAGAAAGTGCACAATAAATAATGTTCCGAACATGCAGATGTGAACTTTGACTATAGTAAGCTCTAGGACCTAGGCTAGAAACTAAAATAAATATGCATATTATACATATATGACATACATATCATATCTATATGAGTTCATATGCATATCAACCATGGTCTGAATGTTTGTGCTCCCCTAAATTTGTATATTGAAATTCTAATCTCCATGGTGATTGCACTGTATTAGAAGGCAGGGCCTTTGGGAAGTGATTAGATCACAGTGAGGAGGCCTGGTGAATAGAATTAGTGCCCTTATGAAAGAAGCCTGAAAGAACCCTCATGTCTTCCACCATTTGTGCACATAGCAAGAAAGTGCCTTGTTATGAGCCAGGAAATAGACCCTCAACAGACACCCAATCTGCCTTGGTCTTGGATTTCTCAACCTTCAGAGCTATGAGAATTTTCATTGCTTATAAGCTACCTGGTTTATGGTATTTTACTCTAGCAGCCCGAACAGACTAAGGCAATAATCCTATACATATAAGAAACAGAAGCCGGGCTCGGTGGCTCTGCCTGTAATCCCGCGCCTTTGGGAGGCTGAGGTGAGTGGATTGCCTGAGCCCGTGGGTTCGAGACCCGCCTGGGCAGCGAGACCTCATCTCTACAATAAATAAAAAATCAGCTGGGCATGGTAGCGTGCGTCTGTAATTCCGGCTACTCGGAAGGCTGAGGTGGAAGGATCGCCAGAGCCCAGTGGGTAGAGGCTGCAGTGGCCGGGAGTGGCCACTGCACTCCAGTCTGGGCGATGGAGTGAAACTCCAACTCAAAAAAAAAAAAGAAACAGTTACAGTGCCACAGCAGGGAACGACAGGAGCCACTCCTTGTGCTTCCACACCTGGGCAGGCATCCGTCATAGGCTTCCTGCTCCTGACAGTTTGTTCTTTTGACTCCAGGACTTAAAGGACTGTTTGGGGGCGAGCCCCTCGGGTCCCCTCCCACTGTGGGAGTTTTTCCATTCACTCAATAAATCCGGCTTTCTAAAAAATAAATAAATAAAGGACTCTGCCTCAAGAGCACAGTCTCCTTACAAATAGTTCAGGTGGGAGCTGGAAGTTTTGTCAAGGTTCAGCCTATAGACCACTTGCTGCCTGATACAGGAACCAAATCAGGCTTGGTGAGACCTGTCTTACATGCTGAGGGTCTGACTGACACACAGGGTCCCTGGAGGTAAACTCCAGGGAGTTCATAATCTTTAGGGCAGAAAGTGATCACAGACAAATGAGGGGAGATAGGCAGGTGTAGCCCTAGCCCATTAGGCTTCCATGTGGAAAATCCTGTTTTGCTGTGAACGATACCACCTTTCAGAGTTTTCTGCCATATGTCACTGAAATATGCCATCTTAGATGAAAGATGAACTTGATCATTCTGGAGAAAGGGAGGCTGCGTTCTCGTCATTGGTCTTGTAAGAAATAAGTAAAATTCAGGAGAGAGTTTACTAATGATGTAAAATATCTCTGACAGCATCAGTTTAGAGATGTTCTGATATATAAACAAAAATAAATTTCTTGGTTGGGTGCAGTGGTTCAGCCTGTAATCCCAGGACTTTGGGAGGCTGAGGCGAGAGGATTGCCTGAGCCTGGGATTTGAGACCAACCTGGGCAACTTGGTGAGATCTTGTCTCTACAATAAATCATAAAAACTAGCCGGGCGTGGTGGCATGTATCTGTAGTTCCAGCTACTTGAAAGGTTGAGGTGGAAGGATCGCCTAAGCCCAGCAGATTAAGGCTGCAGTGACCATAAGCATGCCACTGCACTCCAGCCTGGGCGACGAGAGTGAGATTCCAACTCAAAGACTAAAAGAATAAATAAATATATTTTTAAGAAGTCAGAAAATGTATCCTTTGGGAGACAGCATAGAAAAATACTAAGGTCACCATCTTTGGTGAAAATCTGACATGGATTCAGATTTTGACTTTTCATTTAAATCTTACATTGGGAAAGCTATTTGACTCTTCTGAGCTTCAATTTTCTCATCTGTGAAATGAAAATAATCTATATATTCCTAATGCAACTGTTTTAAGAATAAAATATGACAATTATGAAAAGTGTTCATCAAAGGTCCTTATGCATAATAAATGCCCAACAAATGGCAATTGCTGCCTCTTGCTCTTCCTACCCACCTCCCCCTTTGATTTCAGGGTAGACTTACCCCTTGACAACCCATTGTATGAAACTGTTTTGCAACTGCTGGAGAATTATAAGAATTGTTTTAGTTGGAGATCACCTGCTTTCCCCCCATAGTCACTGTTGGCTTGTGGAGAGAGTAGGAGGCCCATTTCCCAGGTTAAACTATCATACAGGAGCCTCACTCCTCTAGATTTCTCTATGAACTGCTGATGAGAATCAGTGCTCTCCATCCATAAAGGAACATCATTTCTGTAAGTCAAGCTGAAAGGATTTTCTTAAGAAAATTTGTCACCTACTTGAGCTGAATCACCCTGTCGTCACGAACGGTGATGGTATACACACAGTGCATGTTGTTTGGGTAGTCTGAGTACGAATACTCAGGACTCTTGATGATTCCAATGGAGAAGTTGAACACACCACCACAGGCTGCAACAGAAGACAATGGACAAACAGAAAAAATTATTACTCACCGCAAAATGGAAAAATGATTTTGAGATATTCTATACTATTGTGCATTTTCCACTAAGAAAGATAACATTTTTTTTTAAGTAACTTAAACCTCCCAACATTGTGTTTACAAATAATTCTGATTTTTCTACTGGGAGGGAAAGTAAGAGAAAGTAATGGAGTAGAAACAGAAAAGAATGGCTGGGTGTGGTGGCTCATGCCTGTAATCCCAGCACTTTGGGAGGCTGAGGTAGGAGGATCACTTGAGCCCGGGGGTTTGAGACCAGCTTAGCCAACATAGCATGATCTTGTCTACAAAAAGAAAGAAAGAAAGAAAAAACATAAGCCGAGTGTGGTGGCACGCACTTGTAGTCACAGCTACTCAGAAGGCTGAGGCAGGAGGATCGCCTGACCCCAGGAAGTTGAGGCTGCAGCGAGTTGTGATAGAGTCACAGCACTCAGAAGGAAGGAAGGAGGGGTGGGAGGGAGGAAGGAATATTTTGAGGTACATCTAGGAAAGGTCTGAGTGAAATTAACAGCCAAGGTGACAATGACAAGAAAGGAGACATCATGTGTTGGGATGTAACAGTCCCTCCCTTATATTTAACTGACAGAGGTAACTGAGAGTTTTGAAAAGGCAGTCAGAATCCAAGAGACGTTCCGGGCATCTGGATCTCAGAAAGACTGCAATCTAGAAATCTGCAGTATGCCGGGCTCGGTGGCTCAGCCTATAATCCCAGCACTTTGGGAGGCCGAGGTGAGTGGATTGCCTGAGCCTGCGGGATTGAGACCAGCCCAGGTGACTTGGCAAGACCTCGTCTCTACAATAAATCAAAAATTAGCTGGGCATGGTAGCGCGTGCCTGTAGTTCCAGCTACTTGGAAGACTGAGGCAGGAGGATCACCGGAGCCCAGCAGGTGGAGGTTGTGGTGGCCATGAGCATGCCACTACACTCCAGTCTGGGTGACAGAGTGAGACTCCAACACACAAAAAAAGAAAAGAAATCTGCAGTAATACAGACTCAAGTCTCCTCTGTCGGCTATAAAGTATTACAAGGTAGAGTTTTGGAAATAAGTTCTGGAACTTTCCAGTTTAGTTCTCTGTGGGCTCACATGCATGGCTTTTCAGTCCTGTGGATGTGGAATTGTAAGACTGCTAAGGATTATACTTGCTCAAATTTATATCACCGATTATCAACAAGTAAGAGGAGGCCAGGCTCCCTCCCCTCCAGACTCCAGCAACTGACAGCCCACAGCCCTTAGTTATGTACCCACTAGTCAATAAAACAATAGGCACAAACACATAATCAAGCTGCTCTATAAACAATATAAAGTTATTATTTCTGCTTAGGCTCACCATATAAGGAGGATCAGATTGTGCTATGTAATGACAGCAAATGCCCCAGTCTCACCATAGTGAGAAAGATGTATTATTATTTATTTTATGATTATAAAACTATAATGGGGTTAGCATATTTTGATGGTATTTCTATGGTTTTTGGTTTTTGAGTCAGAATCTCACTCTGTCTGCCAGGTTAGAGTGCAGTGGCACAACCATGGCTCACTGCAGCCTCGACCTCCTGGGCTAAGGTGATCCTTCCCCCTCAGCCTCAGCCTCTCTAGTAGCTGGGAGTATAGGTGCTCCCCTGCCCGGCTAATTTTTTTTTTTTTTGGAAAGATGAGGTCTCACTATGTTGGCTACGTCTTGGCCTCAAGTGATCCTCCCAGCTCAGAACCCCAAAGATCTGGGATTACAAGCATGGGCCACTGCACCCAGCAATGGTATTTCTGTGGTTTATGCCCTATCAATGGACATGTTCCACTTCATTTTTCTCAGAAATGAGAAGCAAACTGTGGCTGCCATGTGAGGTTCTTTGTTTATGTGTTGTTTTTGCCTCAGCTGAACCCACTTTGCAGGGACAGCTCTGCTCCGTATGTCTCATGTGCTCAGATCTGGGTCCATCTGTAAGTAAATTAAGTGTCAGACTTGGGCAGAAATTACTCCTTTTCATTTTATACACAATTACGTGATCTTAAAGTTTATCAAGGCCTAAATAACTTCCATCTTTATACATTGTCAGGATTTGAAGTCTTAATAGCAACAATACGTTCCTCCTCCCCCAAAAAAGAATTGAGGCCCTGTGAAAGTTTAGCCAATAAAATTACATGGTTTTATAGCCGCCATGTTTTCTTAGCTTTGGCTCTCTCCCCTACCTTGGGGAGGAGAATTTCTTCTCTCTCTCCTGCTCTCTCTCTTATTTACTTTCTAAATAAACTGCTTAAAACTTAAAAAAGGCCGGGCTCGGTGGCTCAGCCTGTAATCCCGCGCCTTTGGGAGGCTGAGGTGGGTGGATTGCCTGAACCCACGGGTTCGAGACCCACCTGGGCAGCGAAATCTCATCTCTACAGTAAAAAAAAAAAAAAAAAATCAGCCGGGCGTGGTAGCGCACGCCTGTAATTCCGGCTACTCGGAAGGCTGAGGCAGAAGGATCGCCGGAGCCCAGCAGGTCGAGGTTGCGGTGGCCGGGAGCAGCCACTGCACTCCAGTCTGGGCAACAGAGTGAGACACCAACTCAAAAAAAAAAAAAAACTTAAAAAAGAAAAAAAAACGACATGGTTTTATTTTGTTTTGTTTTTTTTCTTGAGACAGGGTCTCACTGTGTTGCCCCGGCTGGAGCACAGTAGTACGATCATAGTTCACTGCAGCCTCGGAGTCCTGAGTTCAGGTGATATTGCCTCCTCAGCCTCCCGAGTAGTTACGACTACAGGCTTGCACTACCATACTTGGCTAATTTTTAAGTATTTTTAGTAGAGCTGGAGAGTCTCACTATGTTGCCCAGGCTGATCTCAAATTCCTGGCTTCAAGCAATCTTCCCATCTCAGTCTTTCAAAGTGATAAAATTACAGGTGTGAGCTACCATGCCCAGCCCCAGTAACACTCTTTAAGAGAGATTTTCATATGAGGTACGTTGAACTTTGAGTACTGGGTTTTAGGAAAATGAGCAATTAAAGAGAAGAAAACTATAACGCAGAGGTTTAACGCTCCAAAGCAGCAGTTGTGCCAAAAGAATACAACAAATCAATCCTTCTCTTTATTCAATAAGGCAATGAGGGAGGAAATGGTAATGGCGCAGCTCTCTTCGGTTTGGGCCAACAGAGCTACAAAGCCACACATCATCAAACTCTACAAACGGCAGAAGTCAGGATTCAGGTAGCATCTAATGTGAATAAATTATGAAGGTCTTTTTCATAAGTAAATAAGCGTTTTTCATCTTTTCTGTGGATGGGAACAGTGATTTATTGTTCAACTTTCTACGTTTAGCAATGGGTTTGGTCAAGCAAAGACAAAACAAAGACAGCCCAGAAAGATTCTACAAGATTTGTGGTGCCAATTTGACTGAAGCTGGGATGCTGTGGGGAGAACACTGGCAGGAAACTAACCAAGCAGGAGAGGAAAGACTATTCAAGGCAGGGAAATACAATCTGACAATTTCCTGGAGAGCATCAAAGCCCTTTGCCCAGTCTGTGACTTGTCTTTTCACCTAGCCTTTGATACAAATAAGTTGAAAATTGTGGCACAGATGACTATATCAATCTCTTATTTCCCTTTAGGGCTTGAACGTTTTTCATAATGTTTAATTTTGTTCTATCAGATATATCTATTATATTCCTTTTAAATTTAGAAAACATTAATTTTCACAGTAACATGGTGACTTGGGAAATAAAACAGGCATCTGGATAATTCAGGCCAAAAGACACCTTTACATAATGTCTGAACAACTAAAGATAGCAGGAGTGTTCATTCTGACTTAAATTGCAAAACAAATCTTGCTTTTCCATTTGATTTTCAAAGAGTAGTTGTGGTCAAAGTACATGGAAAAAAACCTCTTTTTTTTCTTTTTAAGAAAAACATCGAAGTATTTTTATACGATGCCCTTAATTGACTATTTTTTTTCCTTAAGGTTTCTGAATGTTCGAGTTGGTGATATATGCAACCACAATGACCACTCCCTTTGTAAATTACTCAAGAAAAAAAGAAAATTCAAAACTTTATCCTTATGGCTACTCACAGGTTATCCTGTAGGAAAATTTGAATCCAAAGTCTGTGATTTGCGCATTAGAGTAGAAGTTCAGTAGCACTGGCCCGGTGGTGGCAATAGAAGCCAGCATCTCATCACCACACACGGTAGCGAAAGGGGTGGCCGCCACGCTAGAGCCCCTGAAGATGTGTACCCCATCGCTGTCACAGCTTCCCGTCACGGCTGAGCGTGCTGTACAAAGCATGGAACAACAGCATTGTGATTAGAAACACCATTAGCCTTCAACGCTATCAGCACGAAAACAAAAATGTTATGGCCCCTAGGTTAGGTGTTGCAATTTGCACCCCACAGCATTTTATTTATTTGTTTGTTTATTTATTTTTGGAGTCAGAGTCTCACTCTGTCACCCAGGAGTGCAGAGGCATGCTCACGGTTCATAGCAAACTCGACCTCCTGAGCTCAGGTGATCCTTCTGCCTTAGCCTCCCAAGTAGCTGGGATTACAGACATGTACCACCATATCTGGCTAATTTTTTAATTTTTTTATAGAGAGGAGGTCTTGCTATATTTCCCAGGCTGGTCTCAAACTTGTGGGTGCAAGCAACCCTCTTGTTCCAGCCTCCAAAAATACTGAAATTACAGGTGTGAGCCACTGCGCCTGGCTCCTACAGCATTTTAGACGTTTGACGTTCCTCCAAATTCTACGTTTTCATCACCATGTAGAGAAACCTTGTACCCACCAACAGTTACTCCCAGTCTCGTCGTCCCTATTTACAGCTCTTCCAGTCCTAGGCAAATCCACTTTCTGTCTCTATGGATTTGTCTATTCTGTACATTTCACATAAACAGTCAGCAATTGCTATAAAAATTAAATAAGAATCAAGAGACTGCTACCTTTATTTCCTGAAGAAAAGATGTTTTCCCTAATTACAAAACAAGGACAGGGATGAGAAAGCAAGTAGAGCTTCACAATAGATACATTCCACTTTGAACAATTTGTAATTTTCTTCCTTTATAAACTGACTTCTTTAATTCAGTGATCGTGAACTGGAGAGCATTTGCCTTTCAGGGGATGTTTGACAATATCTGAAGACATTTGCTGCTGTCACATTGGAGAGTGGGGTAGGGTCCTGGGATGCTACCAAATATGCTGCAATACACAGGACAACCTCTACATTCCCAAGTCTCCTGTCACAAAAAACCACCTAAGGCCAGGTGTGGTGGCTCAAGCTTGTAATCTCAGCACTTTGGGAGGCAGAGGCAAGAGGATTGCCAGAGCCCAGGGGTTCGAGACCAGCCTGGGCAACTTTGCAGGTCCTCATCTGAGGCTGAGGTGAGTGGATTGCCTGAGCCCGCGGGTTTGAGACCTGCCTGGGCAGCGAGACCTCATCTCTACAATAAATCAAAAAATCAGCCAGGAGTGGTAGCGCATGCCTGTAATTCCAGCTACTTGAAAGGCTGAGGCAGAAGGATCGCCGGAGCCCAGCAGGTTAAGGTTGCGGTGGCCGGGAGCGGCCACTGCACTCCAGCTGGGTGACAGAGTGAGACTCCAACTCAAAAAAAAAAAAAAAATTAGAAGGGAGTGGTGGCACATGCCTGTGGTTCCACCTACTTGGAAGGCTGAGGCAGAAGGATCACCTGGGCCCAGCAGGTAGAGACTGCAGTGGCCATTAGCGTGCCACTGTACTCCAGCCTCTAGCCTGGTGACAGAGTGAAACGCCAACTCAAAACAAACAAACAAACAAACAAACAAAGAAAAAAGAGAAAAACACCTGGCCCAAAATGTCAGTAGCTTTGCTATTGAGAGACCTTGCTCCAAGCCCTTGTATGGATAAAGGACTCCTACTATGGAGAGATCATTAGAAATTCCTTAATGTTTCTCAAACAAACATTTGAAAAGTCCACACAAATGATATTACTTTCAGAATTTAGTAATTGCCAAGTTACATATTATTGTTTTGTTTTCTAATGATAAAACAAATATATACTTCAGCCTCTTCTTCAAAGAAAAATGTGAAACAAAATAAGAAATTTAAGACAACTTTTACTGTTACAACATATCCAATCATATTATTAGGTGAATATATACTGTTAAAACTTGATTGAGATCACACTGAGCACACTGTTTTGTAACCTAATTTTTATTCATGTAAAATGCCATACATCATGCATTTTTATGAAATTAGATATTTTCTAAAACATTATATTAATGCCTATATCAAATTCCAACATATGTCTATGTGCCATCCTATGTTCAATCCCCTATTGCCTGATAATTCTATCTACGCCACATTTTTGGGACTAAAAATATGGTCAAAATAAACATTCTTGTACATAAATACTTGAAGAAATTTTTCATTATTTCATGAGAATAAGTTGTTAGAAGTTGAGTTACTAGCGCTAAATTAAGATTCCTTTTCAGGTTTACCAAATGGCCCCTTGGATAGGTGCTACCAACTCACACTCCCACTGTATTTTAGGTATTTGACATTCTTTCCAATTCTATATTTTCATCCCTGTGGAGAAACCTTGTACCCATTGACAAGCACTCCCAGTCACATAAATAGCATCATGCAATGTATGACCTTTTGTGACTGGCTTCTTTTACTTAGTATAATGCTTCTGAGGTTTGTCCATGTTGTAGCACATGCCAGTACTTCAGTCCTCTTCATGGCTGAATAACATTCCAGTGCATGCTATATGACATTTGTTTATCCATCCAATGGACATTTGTTTTGCTTCCACCTTTTGACTATTATGAGTAATGTTGCTATGAACAGTCATGGACAAGTTTTCATGTGGGCATATGTTTTAAATTCTTTTGAGAATACAACTAGGAGGTGGAATTACTGGCTCAAAAATTAAGTATGTAATTCTATAAGAAACTTCCAGTTGATTCTTCAAAGTGGTTATGTCAACATACATCCTCACCAGGAATACATGAGACTTTCAGCTGCTCTGCGGGCTTGCCAACATTTGATATTGTAAGCCTTTTCAATTTTAGCCATCCCAGTGTGTATGAAATTAAACCTCAATGTGATATTTAATTTGCATTGCTCTTATGATTAATGATTATTCTTTCTCTTCTCATTTACAAATAACAACAGCAAAATTTTTTCATTTCATGTGGACGCTAACCTAACATATTTCCAAAAACTCGCCTCACCTTAACACACAAAGTCTACCAACTTAACAAATCCTCCACTGGAAATGACTAAAACTATATTACAATAGTTTATATGAGAACATACTATGGTATAATGGACTCTAAAATCAGACTGCATGTTTGCTGTTAGAACACTCTTCTTATAAGAGTGTTCTGGAGAACTTTATGATACACATTTGCTTTGTAATTTCAAGACCCCTGGCCATGGACTTTGGTTCAAGGATGAACACGTGACACAAGTGAATTCAATAATGGTGAATTTCAATTCCCTTACTTGAAACTTGAAATAGAGGCAGCAGCATGCAGGTAGATATAACAACCAAAAAATAATCCCTGATTTGTGGCATTTGCCAATTTCCATGCTGCAAATACTTCCACCATAGTCAATTTCAAGCTGCTAACATGAAGTCATCAGATGCAGAACTGGGAATAGATAAGCAAAATTGACTCTTGCAAGATGGTGCAAGCCAACTCTAGTCTACCACTGGATAGAGTCATCTCTCTTTCTAGATGTGGGTAAGGCCCACATGCCTTTCACTTAGAAGGCAGCTTCCCTGTAGCAATGAGAGGAGCCAGCCGTAGGGTAAGGCTTATCCTTCAGTGGCACAAAGTAAGAACAGAATCAGCAGACTGTTTGATTACATCATTAAGATGCTGGATTAAGAGCTTTGAGGCATAGCCAACTTTGACACCTTCTAAAAGTAAAAAGCAGTATATTTTCTTTTGTATTTAAAGCAAGTTAAATTGTTTCCTAGTAATTGTGCCATAAAAGTTCCTAATTGATAGAGCAGATATTTTATTAGTATAGTTGTTGTTACTATTGTTTATACAACCCCACCATCCTGAGCAACTGTTGATAGCTTGATTGATTACTCCAAGGGACATCAGACGCAATCCCGGCCAGTCAGGTGTGCCCAAACTGTAACTGAGTGAGAAAGCCATTGGAGGGAACCAAAGATGTTAAACTTGGAAACTATCCATAGCCATATTTCCTGACACATGGAGGAAGCCAGGCTATTGTAAGGGAAAAAGAACTTGTCATGAAGAGAGCGGAAAAAAGAGGGGGATAGAGAAAGCATGCTGAAAATATTCTTGTCCCTGGTGTTCCTTGTTCTAGAAGTCTTTCTTTTGATGAGATGAGAAAACCCAGTATGCGTCTTATAAACCTCATATTTAAGCTAACTGGAAAATAATCTCTCACTTTTAGCTCCAAGAATCTTGTCAAATATATTTTTTAACATATCTGTACATTAAAGAATCCCCCCTCTTTTATGGGTATCAGTATTATCTTAAGGAAAATTGACACCTTTATCAGAAAATATCTATGCAGTTTTTTCTTAAGTCATTTTAAGAACACATTCGAGTCCTTGCCTAAGTTTTCACCCAGCCTGAAGAAATCTTAAGGTATCAATTCAAGATATATATATTAAATTAACCTCAGAGAATTTTGAAAAACCTAGAATATCAATGCTTATCTACAAATTAAAAGTGTGCAAGACTTAACTTTGATGACCTTATGATGTAATTAGAAGCAGTGTAACATTAGAAAAACAGGACAAAACGTAAATAAATTCAACTCAGATTCATGGTTTGAATAATGCCAAATATGTGCCATAATTATAACCTCAGAATGTGACTTCAAGACATCAAAAGCTCCATTAGAGTTTTTAAAATTCAAAGTAAATGAGTTTGAGAATAAAAAAGTGTGCATTCATTACAGAAATACATTTAGCAATAATATATAAATTGTAAAACCAAAATCACAGAATGCAGGAAAATATTGCTGATGCTTGACTGAAATCTTGGTCCCATATTTGGTCAAAAGAACTGCTAGGCAAGTGTCCTTCAAATATTAAACAGTTGGTTTTTAAGTTGTGGCCTAACCCTATCAAAAACTCAACAATAAGGAAGTTGGTTGGGAGACGTTAGAGGAAGTTGAGAGGGGATTTCAATTGTTTCTTGCAGATGACAATAGAATAACAAATTATTAAACAAATCATTCAAGGCAATCTGCTCATTCTCAAAACCTGATTCAGTAGATGTGAAAGTTAGGATATTCGGTAACT